CAGACTCGCGATCGCCGCCCGCAGGGTCCTACCCCGCAGCCCGCCGCCCCTTCCCAGTCCTTTGCCCGGCTCCTCCCTGCAGCCCCCTCCCCACCCCGCCCAGCTCCGCCGTGTCAGAAGGACAGCTGTTCCTCGTGCCTGTCTCGCTCTCGCGACCGTCCCCGCCCCCCACACGTGGCCTCCCAGGACTTGGCGCCAGCTCGGGAAGGGGCGCGGGACCCCTTCTTAAAGTGGCAATGGCGCGGATTCTCTGGCAACACGGAGCACTGAGGGACAGACAGCACGGGGGCTGGCCCCAGGACGCCCGACGCTGCTTCAAGCCCGCCCCACACGAGTCCAGGATCACCAGCGGCTCCAGGTCAGGGAAAACCTCCTGCCTGGCACCTCCTGCGTTGCCGTGGCCCCGATGTGACACCCCCCAGCCTCTTTCCTAGTGAGGCTTGGGGGAGGCGGAGATGATACCCCATGCCTGAGGCGTCCTGGCCCTGAGTCAAGAGCTCAGAGGCACCCCGCCCTCCGTGCGCAGGTAGGGGCACAGAGGTAGGAGAAGGGACAGCCTAGCCTAGCAGGAGCTCACCCGCCCAAGGAATGTGGGGGACCCTAAGGCCAGGTCAGCTCTGACTGTGATTAGGCCAGGGTGGCTTCAAGCCTGAAGGGCAGACACCATGCGGAGGCCTGAGTCCTGTGTGTGGTGTGCGAGGCTTGCTGGGCGAAGGTGGGGCGGGGGTGCTGAGCCGGGAGTGAGCAGATGGCCAGAGGGAGGCAGGTTAGGTGGGGTCCAGGGGCTCATCTCATCCGTCACAGGAAGCCACTGGAGTTCCAGGTCATGGTGAGCCATGGTGACGCCCATCCTCGGAGGCCAACCTTGTGCTGAGAGGCAGGAGATGGTCCTGGCCAGGCCCAGCGAGGAGTGGGACCTGAGCAGAGGGGAAAAAAGTAGGGGCAGGATGGTCTACTCCAGGTGAGAGATGACAACGCCTGCAGGGCACGGCAGGGGCGCTACTGTTGGGCTGTTGCTCTTGGCTCCAGCAGTCCAGGGCCGGAAGGTCCCAGTGCCTGGGTGACCTGGCTGAGCAGCCCACCGGGCATGGGGCACCTGCAGAGCACCCACAGGATCCGATCCTTGGAGCTTTGAGTGCTGCTCTCACTGGCCCCCTTACAGCAGGGTGAGCTGAGGTCACTTCCCCAGGGCTCTCCTCAGCCCTGACCCACTCCCATGACGTCATAAGCCGCCAGTAGTTTTTGCCTACTGTTTCGGTTGACTGTCCCACAGTCCATTTAACAGAAGAGCAAGTTCAAGTTCTCCTACAGTCCTGAGTGCCTTGGGGACGAAGCCACACCAGGTCCCTAACCCAGGCTCTGTGGGGACATGTCCACGCCCTGGCAAATAGGAAAGTTCGGGAGGGAAGGTTTGGGGGGTCATCAGGCCGTTTGCAGATAGGAGGGAGGGAGGAGGGAGCATGCAGAGTGGGGCTCAGGAAGGACCTGGAGACCACTCGGGACAGCCTAGCAGGGCGGGGCTCGGGGAGCAGAAGGGCCTGAAGTTCCCCTACTCCCCGAGTGCGAAGTCCAGTTCCTGACAGGATGAGTCACCGGCGAGGGGCTCTGCACACAAGACCTCACACAGGAAGCTTGAACTCACTGCCCAAGGTCTTTGATCTTTGCCAGTCATGACCTTCAGAACAGGCTGAGTGAAGATGGAGAGACTTCCTAGGAAGCTGGTCATGGAAAATTATTAAGTGAAGAGAACAGTTGGCAAAACGTTCTGGATGGGGGTCTCCCGACGGCAGCAGCATGGAGGCGTCCTGTGTGCTGTGGGGGCCCAGCAGCATCTCTGGGCTCTTCCCACAATGTGCCAGTGGCACCCCCAACATCACGACATCAAAAATGTTTGCAGACATGAACGAATGTCCCCCAGGATACTCCTCAGTGCTGTACAGTGTGGTCTCAATTTATCAAAAGGAAAGTGCCTTGTATACTCCCGGGTAGCATAGATCAAGTGGAAAGGACAGCAGCTCTGGTCACTAATCGACAGTGTGTAAGCTCTTGGGCTCCTCAACTTCACTCCAGGACCTGTGCCAGGGTACATGGGTGATGGCTGTCACAGCACTGTCTGCAGAGAGATGACGGACAGTCCAAGGCCTACCCAGGAGGCCGACTAAGTAGCTATAGTTCTCAACAAGTACCTCAAGGGGAAATGCAAATCAAAACCACAGTGAGCTACCACTTCACACGCGTGCGCGCGCACGCACACACACGGATGCCTGGAATCCAAAAAGGCACGGAGAAACCAGAACCCACAGGCACAGCAGGCTGGCAGGGTGTGAAAGGGTGTGGCCGCTGTGGAAAACCGTCTGGCAGGTCCTCCGAAGTTGCCCTAGGGCCTGGCCCTCCGCTCCTGGGTATGGCCCGGAGATGAAAACGTACAGCCACACACACCTTGTGACATATTTATAGCAGCACCAGTTCCAGCATCCCAAGTGTCACTGCGTAGGTGAATCGATTTTCAAAACGTCCTCTAGCCACACAAGGGAATGTTATTCAGCCATAAAAAGGGACCAGGTACTGGTACAGGCTGCACCGAGGATGACGGCTGATGACGCTTCGCCAGAGGCTTTTTGCTCTTCCCCTGCCACTCCTGGTGCCGATGGGACCGGGCCAGCCTCCCCTTGCTGGTGCCACAGAGTGCCTTGTATACAGAGTATTTGAGTCTCTGCCCTGTCCTTGGAAGGGCCACCCCTCTAGTCCTGGCTCTGGGGGTGAACGTAGCCCTAGACTTCCCTCAGTAGAGTGGGGCAGAAGGTTGACTTTTTTGCTTTATGATCAGAAAACTGAACAATCAGCCTCCGCTGGCGGCTTGGTCTAGTCGGTGCCAACTGCGAGCTCCAGCTGTGCCCGTTCCGGGACCGCCTTGCCTTCCCTTTTCCTGGTCTCCATTTCAGCCTCTCGTCTTCCTCAGCCCGCCTCCTTCAGGAAGCCCACTGGAACTGATCCAGTGCTTGCCTCTCACTCTCTGAACCTGTGGATCCTACACAGGCCCAGCCACAGGATCTGAAGTCTACACTGACATCTACGCTGTCTCATGTGACCACCTGTGTAGACTCTATCGGTTCCTCGTCTACATCATCTCAGCCCCCACCATTTCTATGAATGCCAGTGGCTTCTTACTGCAGGAACTGGTGACTCCCACCTGGCTGCAGGAGGGTGCTCATGCCCAGCTGGGCACAGGGCAGGCTGGAAGTGCTGGACCCTAAGGGCATCGCTCAACCAACTAGGGCAAGGCAAACTAAACTGCAATGAGCTACCACTTTGTACCCAGTGGACAGCTGCAGTAAAAGGCTGACAATACCAACCGAGTGTTGACGGACGTGTGGAGCAATGGGAACTCGACTGGTGCAAGCGTAGGGTGGTGCCGCCATTTTGGAAGACTGTCAGTTTCTTATAAGGTTCAACATATATCTACCCCATCGCCCAGCAATTTTTTACTTCTAAGTAAGTAAACGAGAGAAATAAAAAATATGCCCACAAAAAGACTTGTGCATGAATTTCAGGGCAGCTTTATTTATAATAGCCAAAACTTAGAAATGACTCCAGTGTCCATTATGTGATTGGATAAACAAAGTGCCGTGTTCATTTAATGGAATGTTGTTCAGCAGTAAAAAGGAATGAGATGCCGATTCATGCTACAGCATGGACGAACCTCGAAAACATTATGCTAAGAGCCGGACACAAAAGGTCACATGTATGATTCCATTAATGAGGAATGCTAGGATGGATACACACAACAGCACGGTGGGATCATAAAACCATCATGTTGTGTGAAAGAAGCCGTGAGTACATGTTGGCATGCTTCTCTTTATATGAAGTCTAGAGCACATAACGCTAAGGTATGAGGACAGGAATGAGGACAGTGGCTGCCTCTGATGAAACTTCTATAATTGTGGTGGAGGTTACTTCGGGGTATGCACTTGTCAAAACTCATCGAGCTGTTTGTTTTACTGAATGCAAGTTTTACCTCTGTGAAAATGTTCATACTTGATCATTCCAAAAGTTACATAGATCAATGAAAAATATGTGGAACACACAGAAAAGCACAAAGTAAAAACGAAACCAAAAAATCCCTTGCAGTTGTACCCCCTCCCACACACACGAGGTCATCATCGTCGTCGGTTCTCTTTTTACAGCTACAGATTTTCACAGATTTGGGATCCTACTCAACACACAGCTTTGCAGCCGCTTGCAACGTCTGCATCACGGTAATGTGCCTGCCCGCCTCCCTGCAGCTGCGCTCCATACCCACTTCCCACCCTCTCCGCCTCTACCTGCACCAATGGGCTTGGCCGACGGGAGGCAAAATCAGGAGATGAGAGGCTGAGAGACCAGAGAGGCCAAGTATTTTCAAGACTCTCCTTCCAGGCTGCGGGAAACTCTCCCTTCCCGCTTTCCTTGGAGCCTGCTGACGTCACAGCCCTGCTGCCCCAGCCCCGCGTCCCCGCAGAATTTCCGTG